TCGTTTAGATTTAGATTAGTATTGTATCTTGGCTTTTTGAAATATGTGTTAAATAATACAACTCAAGTTATACCCCTCATTAAAATGCATATGTATGGTGTAAATAAATACATGTTTTAGAAAAAAAAAAGAACAATCATCGTTTATTAAACTTCTTCAAAATCCATAATTCACTTACAAATATCAAATGGCACAGTTTTATCAAAATTCTTAAGAGCGGTATTTTGAGATCTTATCACCATCATTTTAGAATACGAATGTAACTTAACTATTCTCAATGGGGACTAATATAGTTTACACAAAAGTTACATAAAAAGGCGGTGGTTCCGTGGTCAGAACTGTTCGATCTTATTCAACGTAGTACTAGTGTTGTCTCGCATGCATCCATCAGATCAGAAAATCGCCAGCCTCCATTGCCGATGATATAGCGCTCGTTGATAAGAGCCGTGTAGAGCTGGAGCATAGGGTGAACCTGTGGATGGGTACGCTTGAGAGCGACGGTGTCAAACTAAATGTCGCGACGACCGAGTATATGGCTTGCGGGAGTCCGGAATCCAGCACCATCCACATAGGGCTTAAACCAGCCGTTAGGTCTAAGAAATTCAGAAAGCATCGATCACGAAGTTTAAGTCATTCCTGAAGCTACACAAACTGGTACCTACGTTCAAATCGTTCTACGATAGAATCGAGGCCATTTCATCAGCATTCACCTCACTAACTAATCAATGGCTAGTCTGTGACTAACTAATGGTTTAGTCTGTTTGTCTGTGACTGCGTCACGAGAAAAACACTGGACAAATTTTGATGAAATTTGGTATGATGATAGCTAGGTATCCGGGTCGACATATAGGATACTTTTTACTGCGGGAAAATATTTCATCTCTGAGAAATCTATACTTAATATTAAAACGTAACTAGGGACGGACCTGTGCGGAGCGAGGGTGAGTCGCTAGTCTAAGAATGAAGCTCAAGATTAATTAATCGAATTTGCAATGTGTACCTATTGTAATATGAGGCAATCGAATTATGTAACGAGCATATATAATTATAGATATTAGATTGGATGGTAGATGTATTGATATTTGTACTAGGTACATACTAGGGACGAGTCTCTTACTTGGTCTCGCAAGTAGGGATGGTCTTGGACTTTGGAGGGATAAAATCGATTACTAAATAATCGATTTTCTCTCTTTAAAATAAATCGATTTGTAAAAATATTAACTAAAAAATAATCGATTTTTAATATTTATATACAGATGGCGCCATTTTTCGACTGACAAGGGACATTTCTTTTTTACGTTTAGTGACCACGCGTTTTTTCATTTATCACACAGATGGCGCTGTTTGCAAAATCCGATAAAAATCTGTAGTTTGGTGACATTGGTTTAATTCAACAACGCATAACATATCTTTTTTTATTAAAAAAAAAGAGAGTAAGTAATATAATCGATTATTGAATCACTAAAAATAGATTTTTAATTTTTAGAGAATCGATTATAAAAAAAGTAATCGATTAATATAAGAATCGATTATTTTTTCACATCCCTGCTCGCAAGTGCACTATGCACATGGATAAATTCTTATTATTAAAAACTAATTATGATTTATCCTCATCTCCGCCACACAATAATTATTTCTTCATGAACATACACTGTTCCGACTTGCGGCGTAACTGTGCCTGTGAGAAGTGGGGTACGCCGTACGGCTGGGGCGAGAGGGCCGGACGGAGCACAGAGCACAAGACGGAGTCCATTCATTGCGTAATGTAGGCTGTAACCCCATATTATGTTTTAAGCTCATTTGACAACACATTAGGCTCAGTTTGTAGTGATCCTACTAGTGCCAGCAGTCGTGGGTTCGAATCCCGCTGGGGGCATTCATTTTTGTGATGTGCATGACGATTGTTTATACTCCAGTCATGGGTATTTATATTTATAATATGTATGTATTTAAGGTTATACACCTATGCGTAGTGTATCAACTATGTGGTATCCATAACACAAGCCTCGTAGCTTACCATGGAACTAGATGGCGCTGTGTGTTAATATCGCAAAATGTTTAAAAATCGTCGCGATCACTTCTTTTAATGTGCAGTTTAAAGTTTAAATTAAGTTTTAAGAAATATACAGATGTTTTTGGCTCAATTTTGTATTATTGCCATTCGAAACGTCGGGAACCAAAATATGTAATCTATGCGCTATTCCAGTTTATAATCTATTTCTGTGCCCAATTTTATCTAGATCCGTTCAGCTGTTCTGGCGTGATTAAGATACTGACTACTGTTTTACTATAGGTATACTAGCGGCTCAACCTCGCTTCGTTCTGGTTCGTCGCTGCGTTTTAAATAGATCATTTTAATTTTTTACTATTCCGAACTAACAGAAATCCAAAAAATCTAATATCATAAAAATTGGTCCAGCCGTTCTTGAGTCATAAATGGTGTAACTAACACGACTTTGTTTTATATATAGAAGATATACCTAAATGTCAAATATTCGCGTAAACAAGAAGTATTAAGATCGGGGGGCACGGAGTGCCCCCGCCAAGTCGAGCAAAAAAGGGCACGGCAGTACCATCCTTTTCTCGAAGCGATTCAGAGCGTATTCCACCCCCCCCATAACTTCGTTATGGATAAAGCTGGAAGCCTGAATTTTCAGTGACTAAAAGAACATAATATAACTAGGTATATTACCAAATTACATTCAATTTGAACCTGTAATTTAAGAACTGTTGCAGATCAAAATTCGTTAATATCGTCACTCACTCATTCACTCACCGATCATCAAAATTCTAAGGTACTTCTACCAGACATAGGAGCTTTAAATTTTGAAACACAATTAGTGTTTAGCGTATAACATAAGGAAAAACTCAAACATCACGCAATTTCAATCCTGTTTTCGAGATATACAAACTGCATAAGTAACTTTGTAATCCTATACAAATAGATATGCGATATATGGGATTACAAAGTTATTTTTGTAGTTCATACATATCATTTTTCGTCACTTAAACTACCCAAATGGATGGCTAGGTAAATAGTGGATATACTGTAAGTGTTAGCGACGACTAAAATGTAATTATCAATATTGTAAATAGTTTTTTTGTAATGTTGTAAATAATTCGGTAACGATTTATGACAAAGTTGTCGGATAGATGCTTCCATAGATAGGTAATGAATAAATTAACCGACTTGGTTTTACATTATATCTCATAGCTTTTTGCGGTAGAAGAAATGCGATGCGAGACTTGCAATATTTTTACAGTTATGTTTTTGATGGGATTAAATTAATTATGGTACTTTAACATCTATAACAAGAAACGTATAAAGACCAAAGTCCAAATTTTGTTTTAGTCAAACCATTTGTTTATCCAGTTTAAAAAAAAGTTTTTTAACTTAATTATTTTTATTATTATTATATTTAATTTTCTAACGGATACACGAAGATTAAAAAAAAACTGACTTCCAGACACTAAAAAGTAAAAAATAACTGAACGGAGGGTTTTGCATTTAGGTACAATCGATACCTTTGTATGTATTTGAGGTTGCCAACATAAATAAAACACAGCGCGGCTATTTAAAGTTACTTTATTTGAAGTAGTGTTGCACACCGGTGGTCACACGAGACTCGCTCGCCGACTGACGAGTGACGCACTGCGACCATGCTACCGTGCGGCGCGAGGCGACATACAAGCGACGCCTTACTTCTTGTTACCGTTATACAAATCTATAGAAATCTGTGGTCAAGCGTTCACAAAACATCTTAAAAATTACTATTTAGAAGCTTTTTTCTTTATCTGGCAACACCGAGGTCGGCGCTAAGATCAAAATATAACATTCGACTTATAATTAATATTGCACAGGACTGGAAATGAAAGAAGCGGAAGCAAATTAAATATTTTTAGTTTTAACAAACTGTAAAATTGACTAAAACTACACTTAAAGCCCTAGACTATCTCGAAAATACTCAAGTACTTACAATAAAAACATACAACTTATTGTACAACGCTCGTCTGGCGCCAGCAGTCGCTGCTCGGTCACAGTTGACACCAGTCGTGTCACAAAGTTGTTGGATTTACTGACGAAAAATGGCAGATTCTTAATAATCTAATCTTTTGAAAATTGTTTAGAAGATTTTGATATACGTCTATAACAATAAGTTGGAACTAAAAGTATTTGGAATTTTGGTCACATTTATATCAAAAATTAGACACTATTCCTGTAAAATGTCCATACATAATACTTCTGCTAACTGAGAGCTAAGTTAGTTTGATACTTGATGAAATTAACTATTTTCGAAAATTTACACTTTATTTGCAGTTTCAAACCAAGCGAGTAATGTTAATGAGAAACAAAAAAAACTTGGTCGGTTCTGATATTATTACTTCAGAAAGAGCAATCTGAGTACAACAAATGTGTGAGAGTGAAGTGTTCCTACGAACAATCTAACAGCTTTAGCCGGAATTTAGTGTTGATTGGAAAGTACTTCAACTGTGATCTGTGGCTTAAACATTCAAACTGGCTTTAAAGAAGAGGAAGTATCTACTCAAAAATGCTTTATTGTGTGCAAGTTGAGCCTTTTTTCCCATAATAAACAGATTTCCGTCTTTTTTTTAATAAGTCTGTTTTACCTCAAGGATGGTCCCGTATACTTGTTAAGATTCCACCCATAGTGGTCGAAGAGCATTTTAGTTATAAATCAAAGTCTCCGCGACCGCTGACGCCAGCCGCGCTCGCGGGCGTCGCCGCGACAGATTACAAAGGTAAAAACTTGCATCTAAAATACAAAAACTTGGTCCTATGAAACGTGGAAGTTCTGTTTAGTCACTCTGGGAGCGTTGGGTGAAGCGGTTTGGTGCATTTACTTTAAGATATGTTTTTGAAGACCGAAAATGATTGAAGCGTTTGTTCCAAGCGCGCCCAGAGCGTCACAATAACACAATCGACTAACAAGTAAACACTACGGAACGATCGTTTTGTACTGAGCTGACACACGTGGTCGATGACGAGGCTCGTGCCGTACACTTTCAAGCTGGAGCCTAGAGCCGGACACCGGTGTCGAGTGCCGGTGTCGGCGCCGCGACACTCGTGCGACCGCGTGTCCGACCGCGCCTCGCGGCACTACAATCGCCAACAATCTTCAAGCAATATAAAACTCGTAATCTTACTATTTATTAAATTCAATTTTTGGTGTTTTAACGCAGATGCGAGGAGGTAGCTTTTTTAATACAATATCATCCTCTCCGGTCGCAGAGACGGACTCGAAGACCCGGCCTCTGCGACCGCGAGCGGGTTTGAGATATAAACTATTGTCTAATCGAATTGGGCCTTTGAATGAAAAAAACCGTTTTAAATATGGTTATGTAAATATTACGTCATATACATATTTATCTTCATTGTTTAAGTACGTCATATTACTAAGAAAGCAAGGCGGTATAAAAATTTGATTTTTTTTTATACAAAGACCCATTCGCTCTATATATATATATAAGTTTCAACGTGAGCTTTGAGCTAATGCTAACGCCCTCGGAGTGATTTCGGAATAATTTACATGTTACTCTCTACGCGTGAAGGCCAGACATACAGTTCTCATCCGCCGAAGGACAAGAAACTGTCCGCACGAAACAATAGAGCTAAAATACATTTAATTTTTTTCAATCAAAAAGACAAAACTTAGACCGCCTTCAATCAAGTAAAATATAACTTGAATCTAAAATAATTTTCTTGACAAAAGCATTTATTGGAACTGGTAGGTTAATACCTTGAAGGTGTCTAAAGTGAAAACTCATATATAAATCTATCATTTTATTTTCAGTAGGTACTTGTTACCGACATTTGAATGCTTTAAAGTAATCAGTCACGTGAGAGACTAAGGGCTGTTTATTAAGCATTCGACACGTTTGAAAACAAAAACGATAATAAAACCGCGACAAAATCAAAAAGATTCATTTAAAATGTCTAATAACTGTGTAAATATAACAATATATAATTGAAGGCGACCAAACGTATCCAAAGTGATCTATATCACCCACTAAAGCCACTCACACACGCACGCGGCCGTCCCTGCCCGGCGCCGGGCGCAGCAACACTCCACTACTTTACACTACTTGTATATACGTAATTAATTCGTATAGAAAAGTTATTGCATGGATCCGGCGCCCGCTCGGGGAGTCCCCGCGCGGCTCAGACGCCGGGGAGTCCCCGCGCGGCGCCTCACAAACAGACGCGAGTGCTTTACTTACACATTTTCCGTTATTTATAAAAACATCTATGAAGCGGGTGTTGGTTGGCGAGGACGGGGGTCGAGTCGGACGAAGCGTGGAGAAAAGCGTAAGTAAACCACACGCTTCAATATATTTTAAAGTTAAAACATGCAAAAATACCATTTATATGACAACTATGTATACAATATCAGACACGCGGGCTATGTACAGCACAACACTATGGACCGTGCACTACCTCGAGCGTGCACTCGCCGCGACAACACGCCTTCACCGACAGCCGTCGCCACTATACAAATTTGGCAACTATCTACGTCAGGCCATATAATGTGGAAACACGTAGGAAATATATATATATATGCGGTGCCATGCTAATGCACCTGCGCCGCACACACGAGAGAGAGCGAAAGGGAAACATCGCTCATCCCGCTCTCTCCCGCTCAGGTGCGTGCGGACACAATGACAGCTGTCAGTGGTAGTATTAAGTAGTTTCTAGTATTTTCGTGGGAGCAACACTGAAGTATAGTAATCTATAAGTCGAACTCTCTATACATATACATTTACATGACTTTACACAAGCTTCAACAGAACGCTACTCCTAAAATATAGTCACTATAAACAACTGTACACTCTTGCCGCGAGTGGACTCGTGTCCCACACCGTCCCACACTCTCGGCGTGTCGACAGATCACTGGCAAATCTCTTAAAAAGGCAGTTTCTAGGTTTATAATTTGACAAGTTCCCAATACATATATGCACTCTGTAACTAACTAAAACAGCAACATTACACAAAAACTACCCTTAATTATAGAAGAAAAAAAACATAACCTAAAAAATAAAAAAAGGATAGAGGAGGGGTAAAAATAATATAAATAAAAATAAATTAGCAGTGCATTTATTAAAATAAAAACGACTGAGTACAATGAGGCGGACGTGGCGGCGCGCGACCCTCCCCCCGCGGCGCGCACTTTGGTTTGGCTGGCGTAAGCTAACTGATAGCTGTCAACTCCGAGTGACAGTTGAAAAAGTGACAGCTGATAAAAAGATCACAGTAAATCGAACCACAGATATACAAAAATGGATGTAAAGCATCATCTCCATATAGGTTACACATAAAAACTGTTTAGTCTAGCGGATTATTTATATATGTGTATGTATATAAAAAAAGGATATTTGAATTGAAAAAAAAAGCCATAATTACAATAATTTCGCCTCTAATTAGATACTACAAACTTATTATAAATGAAACAAAATAAAATAAACTTAACATACGCGGGATAAGGCACGATATGAATTGATATAGAACCATCGCATGTACACGAATAGCGACAGTGTCACATCAAAATCGGGATTTTTTAACCCCTCACTAAATGTATAACCTCAGAAGCAAAAACACGGTACTTAAAACTTAAAAAAAAATCGTCCATAATAATAATAATAATAAAAAAATGGAAGAAAATCAACGTTTTGCTCGTGACGTACAAAGTCACTTAACGCGTGAACTAAAACATGTTAAAGGTAAAAAAATATTATAAAAAAAATACATACAGACGAACATATAACCTCCTCCTTTTTGGGAGTCGGTTAAAAATGAATACACATGCAGTTCTGAAAGCTAACGAAAGAAAAATCTATGCTTCTTTATTATAATTATTTTATATTTCGAACTAACTTTGCGTATGGGATTTGTAAAAATACACATTTTAATTTTCAAATCGAACGTCTCATACACTTATTTAATAATATTTATTTCACAGTAATAATATTATAAAAAATTTAAACGTCGCTTTGTACTAACTAATGTTTATAGTTGGTTAAATATTGAGCAATTATTTTGAATTTGTAAAATAAAAAAAAATATGTGTCGATTAACTATTCTCAAACAATTAATTTGGAAACGAGAAAAAGAAAATAAATAAAAATCTATATTTTGACACAGATAATGGAACGTGACTAAAGTTTACAAGAAAAAATCGTTAAAATAACAAAAAATGTCCAAAAATTAAGAAAAAAATTGCACCTCAAAGGGAATTCCACGCACACGTCTTTAAAGTACGAACAACTTTCAAACCGTTAAAACAGAAGCTTTATACAGACCATGAAATTTTGTTCATAATATTAATCTAAATTAACTTTCTCACGAACACGTTTACATTTAAAGCATACAACAACAGAGAAACAATATTTTCTATGTTAAAAAAGAAACTATTACAAAAATGGTGTGCACGAAAAATTAAAGATGGCGGCCCGGGGAAAAAAATCGGGACACCATTTCACCGAACACCTGTGCAATGAGAATGGTACAAGCATATATAATAAAAAAATGGCACAGCACCGGCCGCGTCGCACACCGTCTCACTCGGTTTTTTTTTAATTATTGAACGAAATTTTTTTAACGTATTTTTTTTAAATAAAATGTCTTTTCGTATTTTTTCGTAGATTTATTTTAATTTTTGGTTCCCGATGTTTCGAATACTTTACACAATCATGATGAGACTGACCGAAAATGCGCGAAAAAACCAAAAAGATTTAAAAATGTCAAATATTCGCGTAATTAAAAAAAAACTTTTTTTTTGTTGATATATAATAAGTATTTCTGTCCGTCTGTACGACGCGGGCCGGTGTATCTAGAGCGATAACAAATAACGAGCTAGTCTACACCTAAAGTAAAACCTAAGTAATGGAAGCCGACACCTCGCCGCGCGAGACACCCTGTACAGTGTACGCACTGTGTTACAATACTAACATGAAGGGAAAAATGTATTTTTTATGATTATTATAATTAACAGATATTTCTTTGACCATAAAATACTATCCTTTTAAAAAAAAACGAAAACTTTAATTTGATTTTATACTATTTTTTTTAATAATTGTAACACAGTGTTGCTATTGTAAACGTAACAACAACGAAGAAAAGAACAAAAAAATATATAACTTCAAATGGATTGTAGATTCAAAATGGCGTTTACAATTTCATATATAATCTGTTGACTTATTTTTTGAAATTCAAAGTGATGTATATCGTATGTACACAAACTGAACGCGGCGCCCTCACTATTAGTACTTAATAATAGAAATAAGCAATAAAATATATGTTTTAGTCAGATTTAGTTAAAAAACACGATACAATATTTATTTATACAGATTAAAAACAAAAGTTTGGTTGTGTTTTTTTAATTTTCAAACTGATTGAAAAAGGATTTATTTTAGTATATTTTTTCTTTTAAATACCCCCTCCAACGGTCGAGTGAGAGCCGACCGGAACCAAACACACACTAGCGAATTAAGCCCAACCAACAAAAACCGTATTATTTACATTTTCTACTAAACTTCGTTAACTTTACATTACACATTTATTGCACGACGACAATTATTGCTTTAGAAACGCGGAAGACGGACTCTAACTCCGCTCCTTCACCAAAAACACATCCATTTTATTATTAAAAAAAAATTCATCGACATCACTAATTCGAACCCGCTAACACATTGCATACCGAAAACGCGTTCAAAAAAACAACATAAAAAAAGTTAAACAGAAAGAAGATCCATAAGTAATTTAAAATAAAAAAAAAGCGAAAATGCATGCTTCTAGAACAATTAATTAATTAATTAAATTTAAATCATTTAACCACTATATATATTACAGGAAAGTAAAACGTATCGTAATAACTAAAGGCATATCATATCCGCCGCGTCCGACGTGCGGCGACGCACTGCTCCGGCGGCCGCGGCACGCCGGTATATATACTCACGCACACGCACGCGCACACACACGCACACAACTAAGGCCGCGTAAACACTTAACTAGCGGGCACTCGGGTAACTTCGGAAGTATAGAAAGAGATGGCAGATGTCATAGCGCTCTGTCTCGCCTTAGAGAGAACAATAAGACAGAGAATACAAGAAAAATACAATAGACAGTGACGTCATTCACTCTAAGCATTAGTCCTTTATTTAAGTGTAGGTAGTGGGTTCGAGACGAGACACAGCACCATCGCACCGCCATTTGACATTTGGCAAAACTATTTCGTCCATATTTTGACACCGTTTCCTTGGTTTTTACACATATTGAACATATCGCACTCTGCATGTAGCGCCACTGTCAGACATCACGACTGTGGCGCAGTACATATACGGCATACAATCTCCGGCGCCGCGGTCACTCCGAGTTGTTGAAGTACTCGGACGCGTTCCCCCGACAGATGGGACACGTCCGGTTCGACTGGAAGGTACGGACATATATGATATTAGTATTAGATATTATGCATCATAATATTACGAAGAGAAAAAAAATTGTGTTGTTTGTTTGTAATGGATAAACTAAAAATCCGCTTAAACGATTCAGATGAAATTTGATATGAATATAGTTTGAGACCCTGGGAAGGCCATAGGATAGTTTTTATCCCGGAAATCATCCGTTAAGGGGGTGAAATGGGGGATGAAAATTTGTATGAAAAATCAATTATTTCAAGTACGGTATATAAACCTCATCATATCTATGTATATGTACTAATATATAGTCTATCTATTCCATACTAACCGTTAAAACATACCCAGGGACGAACAGGAGCGAAGCGAAAGTGAATCGCTCGTGAGACATTAAAAATACAAGCGAATTACTCTCGCTTCACTCGAATACGTCCATAGTTACCATTCTTCCAAATCCGTCCAGCTGTTATAATGTAACAAACATACATATAAAATTTTACATATATGTACATATAGCCCGATTATTTTATTAAATATCAACATTCTAAGGAGCTAGCTGAAAATCAATGAACTAAAAAATTTGCTCTATTTGAAAAGTCGTGATCGACTCTGTGTGCTGTGATCAGCAGCGTCTGCTAAATTAGTACTTTTTGTCACACTATAGATATATTTAGTTTAAAAATTGTACAGCTTTTATTACATTGGAATGAATGTTTCTTAATTCTTTTCTTTACTAAAAACATGCTTTATTTTTTATTCCTGTTTGTTCTCTGATATCTGAATCTGATCAATATGTATTAACGAAAACTTTTTGGAACGATGTCCTTAACGCTAAAATTCATCATATAAAGATCTCATATGTGTGAATGACTGAATAATTAAAGTGTGGGTGAGTATAGGAGTGCGGTCGTGTGTGGGTGGTATATTTATGTTGTGGTATACTTATGCAATAATGACGACTCATTAAAGAGTTATAGTGAGAGTGAATGAGTGAGTGAGTGAGTGAGTGAGTGAGTGAGTGAGTGAGTGAGGTGTGAGTGTACGCACCCTGAGCCACTTGTCGACGCACTTGGCGTGGAACTCGTGCGCGCAGGGCAGCACGCGCAGCGTCTGCCGCGCCTCGAACTCGCACATGCACACCACGCACGACGTCTGCTCGCCTGCACACGGACAGACACGTAACAAATATTAATATACATAAAATATCTTTTACTTTCTTTTTCATATTATGTTCTTTTTAATCTATATATATAAACAGAAAGACAGACAAACAAACAAAATTAAAAAAAAGGATTATATAACAATAATAACACATTGTTTAGGCGCCAGTATGATATAAATAACTCTGCGTAGTACGTACGTTTTGGTTTCGGAGCGTTTTGAACTACTTGTACTAACTTAAAATTAAATAAAAAAATATAAAAACATAAGAAACAAAAAATGAGAGACGTGTAGCCGATTTGAGGCTCTTTTATTCTCTAAGAACATTCTCGGCGACGGACTCTCTCGCTTACCCTGGTGCGTCTGCTCGCTGTACTTGTAGGAGGGCAGCAGGTCTATCTCGTGGCGCGCGAGGCCGCGCGGCTTGGCCTCGCCGAGGCGCTCGGCCAGCGACAGCAGCGCCTCGTAGTTCTCGGTCTCGGGCGAGTCGCCGGCGTCGTCGCGCGCCTCCGCGTACGGCGACAGCGGGAACATCGCCAGCAGGTTGAGGAACACCTGGTACGTGGGCGGCGGCGGCGGCAGCGACAGCGGCGGCGCCACGTGCAGCTGCGCCGGCAGCGTCGGCACCAGCCCGCCGCCGCCCTGCGACACACACACACACACACACACGGTGTTTTATTATAATTATAATAACAATGACAAACTTCATTTTTTTGGTGCAAAAGTATAAACATCTCTTTGTTGAGTTCCGATATAAAAAAAATTAAAAATAATTATATCACCATCGATCAGAAAAAGTACTAGATACAAGATATGGAAACGACCATGGAAAAGTTCTCTTAAAACTGTCACCGATTGTGTTTAAATAATTCTTCTAGTTGAAATAAATGTACAAACAATGTAAATTAACCCTTAATGCAAAGCTTAAAGTTGTTTTTACAAAAAAGAAATCAAATTAAAAAAAAAACGCGCTCAAATGTTCAAATGAGCGCTGAAATCTGAAGTTCACAGACGAAAAATAAAGAAATAAATTTTTGAACAAATTCGATTTCGAATAAATTACCTTTATTTCCAATACAAATAATAATACAGTGTTATTTTTTTTTTAATAATCACACACTCGACTTAGAGACTGAGGTGTCGGTCGATTTGTGTCTGCACTAGGTAAAAAAATATATAGATAAAATACATCTTTTTAGTTCTTTTTTATTAAAATGTGTATTTTATATATCAATAGAATGGACATTCAAGTCAATAATCGTGTATAAACAGTGGATGGTACCTGTGCGTGTATGTGGTGCACGGCGTGCGGGTGCGCGGCCCAGCGCGGCGCCGCGCGCACGTAGGGCCGCGCCGCGCGCGAGCCCGCGCCCACCACGCCCACGCCCACGCCCACACCGCCGCCGCTGCGCCGCGGCTGCACACCCGACGCACGATTAGTTAAGTCGTTGTATAATAATGTAACGGACTTGAACAAGTGCACAGAATAAACCATTATTTTTATAATTTAGACTATAAGGCCTCACCCTCGTTTCGCTCAGGGTCGTCCCTAGGTGGATTCCCCATACAAATTCTTCATCCCCTTGAGGGATGATTTCCGGGATGAAAACTATTGTCTGTCCTTCGCAGGATATCAAACTATTTTCTTACCAAATTTCATCTAAATTGATTCAGTAGTTTCGGAGCTTACTCGATACAAACAGACAAACAAAAAAATCTTTTCATTTCATACTATTACTATAGATCAATATTTTATTTTAAATTAATAGACTTTTTAATAGAAATACTTTAAGTGCTTACAAATACTCCTAATCAATTCTGACATCACAGTCAACAGATTAACACCATACATTATTTTGTGGTCCTTCGAGCCGGGTTTGAACCAGCGGCTTTTAAAATCAGAGTGCACATAAAAATATAAATCAATTTTAGTTAAATTAAAAAACAATTAATCTAGCAATAAAAAATTGTGTGCATTTAAATTTTAATTTTTTTTTTTCAAATAACATCTCTGAGAGTGTCGCATTAGTTACACTGTACACAATAAATTCAATTATATCTATATATTATGTATATAATCAAATCGTCAATAGGAAATATGCGTGTGATTTAATTTGAATGTAATTTATTTTTGATTAAGAAGATAATTATCAAAAATTGCAAATATTAGTGGGAAATTCAAATTAGTTGAAACGCACGCCATTGGTCAGACCGAATGTGACGTCAGAGTATATCATAACAGCGATTAGCGATTTTGTCGCTTACAAATTGAGTCGTCATGTCTCTATGTATATCATACTGTGACGTCACGCCGAGCGCGAGGAAAGACGGGCAGTTAAAGTATCCGTATCGGTATGATATTTTATTTTGAATTTTTGTTACACTAAATTTTATTTTTTTGGAGCTGGATATTTTTTTACAATTACATATATAACGATGTTAGCTATTGTATAAAAAAATAAAAAAAAATCACGCATATTCTCTATTTTGTCATAATATATCTGGACAAAGAGACGAACTGAGACTTTCTTACACATTAACAATTATTATTATAAAAACTCACGTGATGGTGGTGCGAGAGCGCGTGCCGCGCGTGGTGCGGCGCCATCAGCTCCAGCGGAGCGCCGCGCGCCTGCGACGTTATTGCAATAGGTATATCAGTAAAACGTAAGCAATGGAGATGTACAAGTACTAATTTTCGACCCATTTGTTTTTTTTTTTCACAATATATACTGCCATAGCCTTTCGTTTTAGAATTTGCCTACAAAATAATACCAACATATCGAAAAAAAAATAATCGAGATGTACATCAGAAACTACTCATCGACCTATTTATACACATTTCACACAAAATAAACCGCTATAACGGAACATTTTAAATAATTAAAAAAATAGAGATTCAAACATTTTTTTAAAAACGCTGACCTCAGCAACACGCCGCCATTTTAACTTTGTTTCAAAGTAGAGGCGCACGAACAAACTAGTATGAATCAGCGACATACTCGTAGTGTGTCACGATATCGCTTATATACATAAGGTATATACAACTGGTACATATAAAACATGTAATGAATTTTACGTAGTATTCTATTTAATAACATAAGCTACGGCGGGTGTACCTCAGTGGCGAGCAGCAGCGGCGCGTGGTGCAGGTCGGGCGCGGGCTGCAGCGGCGACAGCGCGCCCTCCCCGCTGCCCAGCATCTCTAGGCGACCGCCCTCCGCCCGCTGGAAGGTGGATCAAAAATGAATTGATTATATACAAAAAATGATATTAAAGGGCGTCGTCTATATATTTGTTTGTTTGTTTGTCATTATACCACGCCGAAGTTTTTAATTATGCCCCCCCAAGTTTAAATGAGATTGACTGAGATTTGATGAGATTTAATGACATTTTACAGGAACTCCCCCCTCTTTTCTTCTATTTTGGGCCCACGTAATTATTGTAAAATAAGAGACGACGACATAATTGAAGCTAGAGCTTCAACAGAGTAAACACTCACCTGCGAGTTGATGTAGTGTGTGTGGGCGTGGGCGTGGTGCTGGTGCTGGTGGGGCGGCGACGCGAAGCCACGCGGCGGCGGCGCGAACCCGCCGTGGTACTGCAGCCCGTGCGCGTACACGCCGCCCATCTGCCGTGCATATGGGGTTAGACACGCTGCACGCTTCACGTCGCGTATTCGGGCGTGCGACGACGGATGTGACGATTGGGATAAGGAACGATTGATACTATCATCATCATATAAATTGGATGATTGAGACATAAAATTTAGTCCATAAAACACTCTATTTTAGCCTTAAAACCCTGAATTATTTTCATCAATAGCAAACTTGGCTGTGACATCAATGAATAAATGGTCAAGTGATTTAAAAGTAAATGACGTCACAAGTTGCTATTTTCATACAAAATGTATGGCGAAATCGCTTATTGACAACTCAAAGAGTAAAAAGTATATAAATTGATTGGTGGTATCAACTGCCCAAACGTGATTCAAACACATGTCAAACCAAAAGTTCTCTTCCGTTCACATCCTTCGTCACAAACGCCCACAATTGGATATATCACCGTAGTACCAAAATTAACCATTATAAATAAAACAATTTTTTTCGTAGATTATGTATATATTATGTTTTTTGGTTCCGGTAGTTTCGAATGCTTTACAGCAATCATGGTCACGGGAAAAACGTCGGGAGCCAAAAATCAAAGTAAATCGATGAAAAATTCGAAAACTCTTGTCTTCTGTACTAGTGATGTATCCAATATTACAGAGAGGAAGTAACAAAAAAAACCGTAAACCAAAACACAAAGTAGCTAATAAAGGCGCTTGTTGAATCGATGCTAAAAAGATTCGTCTCGTTCCTTTACAAAAGAAAAGTCTCTATGATGAATGTTATTAACATTACAAAAAAAAATCGTAAAATACAATACACAGATATACATATATAGCTATAGACTATAACGAAAATAGACATAATATGATTTTTTTTTCGATTTAGATGAACATGTATGTGCAATCAGCCCTTTTTTTTAACGTCCCACAGCTGGGCACAGGCTTCCCTTCAATATGAGGGAAATCAGGTCATAAGTCCACCGCGCTGGCCAAGTGCGGGTTGGCGGACTTCACATGTCTTTCGAAAACTTGTTAGGTTCTCTCAGACATGCAGGTTTCCTCACGATGTTTTCCTTCACCGTAAGACCTAGGTAATCACTAATCGTGTTGGAAATGATAATGAAAATATTATGAAAATCAGAGGCGCGAGACCCGGTATTTGAACCCGCTTCACTCGCATTGCCACTGGACTACCACTGGCTGTGACATGTACATAAATATGACTGCATAAGGCGACTTTCCTCTCCGTTTTTTGTTTTTGGTCAATAGTGCCTCATCGAATTAGATGGCAATTTTCAAAATTATCTTTAATCTCATGTTAGCCAAATTAGATTATTTGTATGGTCAGTACAAACTTTCAACATGTACGAGAATCGAACCCGTCACTTTTGACGTATTACGCCTTACTTTAATTTTTTTAACAATGACATGTACCTAAACATAATATTAATAAAAAAAAAACTGAAAAATGTAAACTATGACAAAACCATACATACAAAAAACAGAAGCGATAAAATACTGTAATCGAATTCTATTACACATATAGATACTCGTAATAATAGATAAGTGAAGCGCAAATCATATTAATAATATCGGAACGAGATAAAACCCTTGAGCTGAGTCGTCACAACGAGCCTGCGCCGTGTTAATACCGCACCCGACACTTCACGAGGTTACCAGTACACATGTTATTTGACATTAAAACAGCATATCGTAGGAAACAGCCAAGTCTAATAATGAAAGCGACCAGCCAAATATTTTCATTTGTCTCGTAACCAATCTACTAAATACCAAAGCTTGAGTTGCTAGCGGCAAAAATGGTAAATAAAGTGTGGCGAGGCCGTCGCAACAATCACCCCGTGTGGACCCGCACTCAAGCGGCATCGGTCGACGAGCTCGCGGCGATGCGCTATCATTGGCCGATGGCTCTCCTCAGCGTCGTCCTACACGGTGCGAAAGTTTACGATGGCCAAAAATATTGTCGTCACGAAGAACACGGAGCACATTCACAGGGTATCGAATAGGAGATCGATGCATGCGGTACACGAATAATAAAAATATATAATATCTGAACGTGAGGGTTAGTCGTCGGAAAAAATATTTGGGAGGTCGCAATCGACCGGCACTAAGTAACTGTACTTTGGCCATAGATAGCACTGAGTTATTAAAAGTTAACAAAAAATGCATAATATGTGGTAAAGAGCAAATAACGCTAGATTTATTTCATCCCAGCAATCTAGGCCGGCCGAGTTACTTGCACCATAGACGTTTTGATACCGTTGCCAAAAAAAATACATCCCCAATTTTTGGTGACACATTCTTATAGGCAGCGCGATGCCAAAACGTTTATAGCTTCCGCAACTCGCCGGATCAGTATATACAGAACCAAACAGAATGAGCTGAGTGTGGCATGCTGTAAAACCTAAATCCGACGCCATATTATTTGATTCTAATGATAATATATTAAAAAAATATCCAAAAATGGCGCCGGAGCTCGGCACAGTTCTTTTAAAAAAATTAATATCGTGTACATTATTAAAATAAATAAAAAATATATTAATCGGTTCGGAAGTGTAACATGAATAAAACATCGACAACTGAATGGCTATGCCGGCTCTAAGCGTTCGCAATCGACCAATGGGAGAGTGGAATTCCGAGTCTCGCGACCTGATTGGTCGAGGCCGATGGCGATCGTTTGGAGGCGGCACAGATACCTATATGTCATCAAGCACTGTGCACTGAGTCTATGTATTACATAAAGTAAGGTATATAAGGTAAGTATGTGATGCACACATCTATGCAGCCTACCGCCACCTCGCTACGTCACTGCGCCTAGCAGCCGCTCGGAACAATCCAAACCTAACGTATAATACGCTCACATTGAAAACTAAGTGCCGTACAAAAACGTGTCCAACGTGTAATGTAATAGAGCTCAGTTTGCAATGCGCGCTCACACGGAAAAGCTAGAACGCTGACATGACAGGCTCGGCGGCGGTCCGCGGACGGCTCGCGAGTATATCTATCTACTCACTAAAACTAGGCTTGGGATATTCTAGACCAATTCCGATCTTAAATTTACCGAAACTATGTATTATGTCGTAGAATAAAACAATATAAAACGTAAGCGTCGTCACATAAAAACTGCGGGTATTTCGAAATTGAAAGAACAATGTAAGAACAAAACGGGTGAGGGTCGCAACAGAACACATAAAAGCGTGTGTGGGAGGAGACGGTCGCCTCCAGTGTCGGCTGGCGAGTCCGGTCGCTACGAGCGGTAGATAGATACACGGGAGGCGAGTGTGGACATCCTTACAGTATATAAACAGTGGGTAAAAATATTAGTGGGCCCGCTCCCGCACGCCATCTCGCCTGAGCTCGGGCGCTGCTCGACCGTCGGCAAATCCGTGGCTAGTCTGTGGCCAGTCTAGAGTCGAGGTCTGACGCATTCGAGCAACTCCCGGTACATAATAAGTAAAGAACTCTTACAGAGAACGAGCGTAGAATGCGAGGCGCGGCGGGCGACCGCCCCGACCGCGGAGCCCGTGTGCGGGACCGTCGCCCGCCGCGCCACTACCGAAGCTTACATTATACAAGCGACATTTACATATTATCACATAGGATTAACACTAGAACCCTCCTCACCGCAAGTTACCAATATCACAATATAATCTGGGCATGCATATCAGTCCGTGCTGGCAGACAGTGTGTACAGACGTACGAGCTATCGACCACATCGCGTGCCGTGACGTCCAGCGCAAGGAGACAAACCTCTAACAGTACACTACTACAAAACGTCCATCCGGCCTCCATGGCCACGCCACGCTGACACGTCGTGGCACGACAGGCCACGCGCGTGGCTCGACACGACCGTGGCCATGGAGCTCGGATTACATGAAGATGTAAATAAAATATACATTAGAACTCGTAAGAAAGTAGTCATTAGCCACAAAATTAACTTAATCTAAACGAATGCTCAAAGCGCCTCAGTGTTATGCGAGATGTACCGAATAGTTAGTGTTCAAGCGTCAGTACACCGGGCGCCTTGACGTCGAGCTCCGCGGACTAAGCAACACCAGACACCTTAAGCTGTAGGGACGAAGATGGGACCAAATTACAAAAAAAAACCGACCCCGACGTGAATTTTCATTTTTCACCTTCCAATTTATAGGGAGCAATTATAGGGAGTGTTATATGTATATAAAAAATTAACATCGAGTCGGCAGTTTGTTTATAAAAGGTGTATCGTAGAAGAGTCGATCAAGCCACAGGTCCAGCCACGCATAAGTACAGAGACCTTACTCTAGGTACACCAGATCTAACCTAACTCGGCGACAGCAAAGCGGCGCCCTCTGGTACGCGCATACACAAACGATGTAGCGGTGCAATGTGAGTCGGTGCATTGATCTAAAATCTCTTGCTTTACATAAACAAAATCCAAAACCACGATTCGGTTAAGTCAGCCGCCATGTTCCACGCCCCATCGGCGACCGTCTGGTCCTTCGCGCCGGATGGATTGTCAAATAGGCGGCTATAGTATTTGTTTAGACAAAGCGTGTATACAATACATTACAAAATGTTCTACCAAGCTAGAAGGGGTAATGGAAATTTCTAGAGATTCCAAATCAACGATCTGTTGCATGCACGCGCCTCTAGTCCATGTGTTGTCTGTTTGTGTCGTGCTCTGTACTGTGTGGGGTATTTTGGTTTGCCTCTGAACTAAATTGCAATAGATAAAAAATATAATAGACGAATAAAGAAAATAAATAATGATTTAAATTGAAGGGGAAAAAGCTAGTTTAGATATTTTAAATTTTTTTTTTGAAGACCATATTTTAAGATGGTTTCGAAAAATTAAGAAATATTTAACTGACCCATAAATTTGTGGAAATAAATATGAATATGGTAAAAAAACACAAGAGATTTCAGAATAAAAATGTACGAAAATAACAATTTCAATTTTGGGAATAAACTGATATTTGTGGATACATCATTATTCTAATGAAAATGATTGAAAGAATCCCGATTTCTTCTTTCGACAGGAGGCAATACCACAATCAAGTGTGAAAAGTGTCAGGGGTGTCATTGTCAGGTGATGTCAGGTGTCATGTGACATTGTCGGGTGGTGTCAGACGTGTGGTGTCGAATGTATCGTGTCAGGCCGCGGATCACTTAGTACCTGGTAGCGCAGATGCGCGTGCGGCAGCGCGGGCAGCACGGCCGGCCACAGCTCGCCCGCCACGCCCGCCACCTGCAGCGCCACGCTTGTACCTCGCGACCGCGCGGCTGCGCGACCACGCGGCCACGCGACCGCGCGACCACGCGACCGCGCGACCACGTGACGCGTTTGTCTCACATTGGACGGAACTTGAAACGTGGCTTTCATAGACTACACATATATCATTTTATCATCACGCAGATGAAGAGGGTGGATAAAGACTGCATTTTTTACCAATTTTTTTTTAAATCCAGCCCGTTTCAGTTCCGCCCAATATTTTCTCATAAACGCGAGACTACATTTAATTAAAAATAAAATATCAACAAATAACTATCCCTCGATTTAAAAAAAAAGAAGTTTCCACCAACTCGTTCTAACAATTTTTAAGAAATGATAGTCTCGCGATTCTTTTTTAATCTAACTTAGGTCTAAGTATGACTTTACAATACATATATCCTTATTCTGAACTTAAATCCAGAAGATTCCAGAACTTAACATCTTCAAGTGTTTATGCTATGCCCAGATTGACAGTAAGTATATGACCCAAATTCTAATTAAATTATGAAAAATACGACCAAAACCCAAAATTTTATTTATATGATGATTCCAATTTTAGTAATTTCAGTATTTTTGGTCATATTTTATATTAAATAAATAATAAATATATTAAATTATCATTATCTGTGCCTTATCTTACAGACTAAATATAAAATTTGAATGATCTAAATTTTAACATTGACATTTATAACTTTGTTTTTAATATTATTGTTCTGTACGAGTTAAAAAAAATATATAATTATTGACAGTGTGTCGTGTACTTTCATAAATAAAAACATTAACGTGTCAGTAAAAAAAATCAATTAAAATCGTGTGTCGCCATGAGTTTAAACTTAGAATGATCACGTCAGAAAGGTTGAGAATAAAAAAAATTCGATAAAAAAAAACCAATTTCCTCTGCAATAATAATAATATTAATACAAGTAAATCCATTAAAAAATATAAGAAGCGCGGTTAAATTACAGTATAATTATACATAAAACCGAATATTAATACGACCTTTGACATTTTTGAAAAAAAAAAACAAAATCAACTTAAAATGGTGGTACCTTGTCGATTTCAAGATGGCGCTGACTTGTCATAATAGGATCTAAAATGACATAAAATCACCGCCATTTTGAATTCACCTTGGACCTACCTACATATTTATCGATTATTTAAACTAGTACAGAAAAGTCCATGTATCACTTTTATATGTCCGAATATTTGAAGTTTAACAGCTGTTTAATTAAATCGAGTTATTGTTAAAATTTCATATATTTTTTCGTATTACATTATAACACAAATATGAAACTTTAACAAACTCAGTGTAATAAAAATAAAACCTGTTAAACTTAAAATATGTCGTCCTGTAAAACTGATATTTAGACATATAAATCATCATGAGTAGACCCTAATCAGTAATTTAACCGCGCTCCTCTCCCCTGATGGGGGGTATAAGGTCGAGGGGTCGTAGGGGTCGAGGGGTCGGGGTCGGGGGTCGGGGGGTCGTACCTGCGTGCGGGCGGCGTGCGCGGGGTGCGCGGGGTGGTCGCGGTGCGCGTGCGGCCAGCCCACGCCGCCGGACAGCGCGCTGAGGCGGGCGCCGCGGAGTGACATCTTTGGAGCGAAATAATTAAATCTGACTGTATATTTTTTTATAATTTTAAATAATAATAATCAAATGAATAAAAACATGTCCGCGTTATATCGTTCGCGAAATTTTGTATTTGCTCAAGTTGTTGGTCAACCAACAATAAAAAATCAAACACTGACGTTGACAGATGTCATGAATGATGTCAATTTTTTTTTTATTTCATACAATATTGACAACTACTAAATATTAGACAGACATGATGAGACAGATATAATATAATAAAGAACTATAGTATCTATGTGTCTCTCTCTTCCTTCCATACCTGATTGATATCCAACAACAGCGGCGTGTGGTGCGCGTGCGGCAGGTGCGCGGGGTGCGCCGGGTGCGCGGGGTGCGCCGGGTGCGGGTGCGGCGGGTGCGGGTGCGGGTGCGCCTGATGCGGGTGAGGGTGCGGGTGCGGCGGATGCGGGTGCGGCGGGTGCTGGTCGAGCAGACGCTCGTGCCACACGCCCGCGCCGTTCCCTGACACGTAGCGCACGCGACGCCTGGAAATTGAGACGAGTTAAGACATTAGTATTTGGGCTTGGAAAAAAAATGAAGCGGGTTCAAATCCCGGGCCTCGCACCTCTGAGATTTTCATCTGCGAGTCATTTTCATCACGATTACCACTTGCCTTACGATGAAGGTAAACACCGTGAGGAGGCCTGCGTGTCTTTGAGAGAATCTATTATTAGGTTTTCTAACATACGAAGTGGTCCACCCGCATCGAATTGTGCGGACATCCCAGCAGTGGGACTTTAATAGGGCAAAAAACGGGGAACTATTATAAAAAACTACCAACATCTTATGTAGCTGTCAATAAATAAGCTATAAAATGCGATCGATCGATCTCGCAGTAGCAAAGATTCAGACGTTCAAATAAACTTAAGCTCCTCAGGTTTATATATTTACATAGATTGTATGTATATAGTGTAGTGTCACTCACGGTGGCTGGTAGTGGTGTCTGGGCGTCCGCCTCTCGACTGGCGGCGCTGCCACTGACACGTTGCTTTCACCTGCAAAATCATCACACACTTATATTACATATGCGAAACTCACAGAGTAAGTAAGAGAGAGAAAATGAGAGTTTGTGTGAGAGAGCGAGTGAGAGAGATAATGAGTGAGTATATTTATCACTCTTGACACTATATGTATAATGTATGCTATCTTCCATTTTCAGTAGTTGGTTCAAAAAATTAGTCAGTCAGTGAAACAAGTCATTTCGGACTTCGGAATATTAAATACATATATATGAGAAAGTTTTTACGTTTGTGTTTATGTTTGTTACTATTCCTTTAGTACTTAAATAGACTACGAGCTAAAGTATAGGCTACTGTGTTGGCCAATGGTCAAGACATCTCCAAAAAACCTCGAAAAATATACCAAAATCTCGTCAATTAAATCAAATGAATCAAATACATATATATTTTTTCCAAATAGCAACAATACAAAATATTGTCAGAAACCATGAAAACAGACTTGTATCTTATAATCGTTTCTTAAAACGCGAACATTTAACATTTTAAATAAAACTATCTTTTCGGTAGTTTTTGCGGATTTATTTTTGGTTTCGCTTCCCGACGTTTCAATGCTTTACACTTCACAGCAATCATGGTCACGGGAGACTCTAATCGGAAATCCGCGAAAAAAAAACCGAAAAGATAGTTTTATTTGAAATGACTTGTATCTCATAATAATGGCCCACTTACCAGAGGACAAGTGTCTCGAGATCCGCCGCCTCTTCCTGGTGGGACTGTCGCCGGGCTTGCTGGACAGCTCTCCGTCGGACGAGCCCGCGTTGCTGACCACCGACTCCACCAGCGGCGCCGAGCCCTCCAACGGGTTTGTGTCCTGCAAAGGATATTGCTACACGATTTTGTATAGAATTTCTCTTTCTCCTTCTAATAATCTTATCGAGAAACAAAATGGAGATAGTAGGAAACCGCAGGATGTTAGTGGATATCCCGATTGTCCACCAAAAGTTTCTCTCTCTCAATTAATTAAGTATTATTTTAATATACCATGAATTTCGGTTTTTGGCAATTCTTTAACGATATACTAACGTCCCACCTTCAGTTAAGAATCCGCAAAACATTTCTTTTCCCATACAAAAAGTGGTCTATGCAACCCTTGTAACTGAAATTCCGCGGGATAGAATCTAATATCGAAGCAAATTTCGAAAGATATTTTCAAATCACAAATAGACACTCAAGTATAAGTTAAAGGTTAAACTATAGATATAATATATTCGCTCAATACTAGGAAATAAAAAGCCTAATTTTTTTTATGAATAACAAAACAGAGGCTGTTCTAATTAGTGAAACAGCACAAGCCGGTTGGTTTAGCGCGAACACGAATTATGCAAATATATTCAATGTTAAATAATAAAATATATGGTAATATATGCGCCTGCTCGAGGGCTTCTGAGTGCTAATAATAATAAACGAACAGTTATCTATACGCTCACATTAAATAATTATAAAAGTTGTAACAAAAATGTGTAATAATTCAGCCCTTTTTAGCATCCCACTGCTGGGCACAGCCCACCCTTCGATACGAGGGCCAAATTCAATCAGGTCTCAGTGCACCACGCTGGACAAGTGCGGTTAGCGGACTTCGTGTGGAAACCTGCATGTCTGAGAGAACCTAATAAGTTATCGAAAAATATTTGAAGTCCGCCCGCACTTGGCCAGCGTGGTGGACTATGGCCTGATGCCCCTCGTATTAAAGGGACGTCCTTAAAGGGGTTCAATAAATACACATTTTGTATGCAAAAGTACACACCATGTGATGATGATGTGGCGCGTGGTGCAGATGCGGCGACTCCGCCGACGGACCCGCTCCGGCGCCCGGGCTCACTCGTAATTCTGAAACAATAAAATCTACACGTTAAAATTATATAAAACAACATTTCTTCTAATTATGCATTAAGTCTAAAATAATAATTAAAGAGAATATGAAAGTTCGTCAGCAGTAACCTCTGGAAATGCTGATCAGATTTTAGTATGTGGCACAACAATTTGATACGATAAAACTTAAGCTAAATTCTGTCCAAAAATTTAACCTCCTTTATCCCAAAAAATAAATGAATCCCACGGGATAGATGACTGAAATTGTTTCATTAATCTGATCAAAACGATAAAAGGAAGCGTAGAAACCCCATACAATTATTTCGAGATTCTGTTGAAAAGTGGCTATCCCGAAAAGTATACTAACCCATTTCACAGTATCTCTCACACAGGTAGTGGGTTCGATATACTCTAAAGCGCTGTTATCATTCTAAATGTAAGAGATGGGATAAAACTAAGCAAAGTCGATAGTTGGCAGAGCTCCACCCATTGTTGCATGTAGGTTCAATTTTGTAGAGTGCCAGTGGCGGAACTTACTCGTAGCCTCAAATGTAGGAAGAAGACTATGTTGTATAAACCGACACGTCATAGTACATATTAAAAATTCTAAATAGGTTGTATATTTAAAAATAAATAAATACTATCTAAATTAAAAGGATGCGTTAAAAAAGAAATAAAGAATATACGTAAGTACATTGTCAGTAAAACTAAATATAGGTATAAAAACTTACGTTTTAAAACTTTTAACTTTTAGTATAGATTTCTCAGAGATGTGATATTTTTCTGCAG